AGCAAAGAAAGCAAATTGATTATGACCTCCATGATTCTGCACTTCTAGCTTGGGGTGGCAATAAAAATCTTGATCTTTTATAACAAAAGAGGAACTTAATTATTGTAGCATGATCAAAATGTTGGGATACCATCATTTTCATTGCCTTATCAATCAAATCAATATTTAAGAACAGAAGATCCTCAAACCACCAAGATAAATGAGAGGAATTGTTTCTGATACTATTGCTGCTCCTTGTATCAGGTGAACACCGGAAACTTGAGTTCTCTGAGGAAGATGTGTAAGGACTTGCAACAATAGGAGAGAAAAGCCTTACTATAACACAATCCAGGACTTTGTCAAGTATTAGAGAAGGTTTTGAAGGAGAAAGCAAATCTTGGCACTCTTTCAAAGCTACAAGGAGCTCAGACCATGACCAGAAGCTAATGCCATCTAGAGACCTTTTGGTTTGGTTCAACAAGCTAGGTCTGGGGCCTTTACTATCCATCTCCATGAATTGTGCTGCAAAATTTAGTAAGACTATATTGGCAGGAGTTAGTTCTCCCGTTGTTATAACAAAACCTTTCTATGAGCTCAAACCCCTCGGCTCCCTAAGGAAAGTCATCAAATACTACTTTCAGGTCCCCTGTATTATCCATAAAATCACCTAACAATTTGGCGATCTTTTCGAGGAAGATGCAAAAGTTCTCTGCATTTAGGAACAAATTCAAGGGCAGTTAATAGCACATAGTAGGATGATATGTAGAGAAAAGGAGAAACATTTTATGACATTTTTAACCCAAAAATGCCAAGTGGTTACCAACTCAACAAGAAGCTACAGATGAACCCCAAAAATGACAGGAATTTGTGTGGTAAGAAGTTACCGTCAACAATAAATTTATGAGTGGCCCTGTTTCTTCTGTAATCTAGAAGAGGGGCCAAGGGCCCAAGATCCTTGGTGAAATTAATACTAACTTATAAAAAAACCCCAGAAGAAATAAAGAAGCATAGAGTACAGAAAACGGCAACACAATTGACTTCAAGTGAACGAAAATAAATCACAGAAGCTGAAGTTTCTCTACCGGAAAAAACTTGAAGTTGATATGAACAAACTACAGGAGTTGATATTACCTTGTTTACTGTAAAGACCTCTTCACCGTTGACATCCACTACAAGATCACAGCAGGCTTGCATTTTTTAGATAAACAAAAGGTGAAAACTGAAAACTGAAAACCAGCAAAAAAGAAAGGTGATGCTATGGTGGTATATGTTGTTTTACATAGTTGCATTGCATTGAAAATTGGATATAGAATTTGGTATTTCCACCTTAAAAAAAAGGAAGATGAAACCATGAAAGAGAAAGGAAGAAAATAACTTCCTCCTATGATACTGTCAAACTAAAAACGTATAGCTTCAATGTGTACGACCCTTGTAAAATAATATTGCAAAATTCATTGGGAAAACAGGATATATTAAACTCGAGCTTCGAAACAACGGGTATACGACTATTTGTATTGTAATTTCTATGAAGCGCGCTATTCAAGGGCATTCTGCTTTTCTATTTTCTTGGGATCATTCTTGTTGACCAAAACGAAAGGATCGAGTTCTGTCTTTTTCTGTTTCCATGGAGCTCGAGAGTTGGCAAAAAGAATCTATAGTGGGGGGCTGGATCTGTAGTTTCCTTTTCCCACCTAGAAAAGTAACAAAGAAGACCCAGACTAAGATTTTTATTATATAAAATAACTTCAGTGATCAAAAATCCAGATAATATATGATTTTGATCATTTTTTTTAAATTTGTAAAATGACCAACAAAATCGCAATGCGATCTCTAATTCGCATTGTGATCTCCACTTTCGCAAATTCGCGTTGTATTTCGCGTTGCGATAGTTGAAAATCGCGTTGCGATTTTCCATTTCACGTTGCGATATTTGAAATCGCGTTGCAATAGTCTACAGTTGTCGTTGCGATTTTTCAAATTCTTTGCGATTTTTCAAATTCGTTGCGAAAATTCGTTGTGATAGTTAAAAAAAAGATTTTGTTTCTTAAGAATTTTCTTTAAAAAAATAGTATACGCGCGGACGTGTCGAAGACACGTATTACCACGACCACGACCCCGACCCCGACCCCGACCCGAGACTAGACGAGACGGACGGCGGCGCGCGAGAGTTCCCCTTGTTCTCTATCACTCAACAAGAAAGTGGGAAAGCCAAGCTTTAAATACTATTCTCAATAGTGTTTCTAATACTATGTGGGATTTGAGCATTACCAACACTTGTTCCCAATACTATGTGAGATTGAGCCTTAAATAGTGATATTATTTTTGAATGTTTTGCTTAAAATTGTAATAATCATGATTGATTGTAGATTGAATTTTAATTATGACATATTTAATTGTATAATACTAATGCAATTAGTTGCTGATTTAGTTGTTTTAAGGTGCATGATTGTTAATTGTTTCCTGAATAATCACATTGTATTGGAAACAAGTGTTGGTAATGCTCAATCCCACATAGTATTGGAAACACTATTGGGAATGGTATTTAAGGCTTGGCTTTCCTACTTTTTTGTTGAGTGATAGAGAACAAGGGGAACTCTCGCGCGCCGCCATCGTCGTCCGTCTCGGGTCGGGTCGTGGTCGTGGTCGTGGTCGTGGTCATACATGTCTTCGACACGTCCGCGTGGATACTATTTTTTTAGAGAAAATTCTTAAGAAACAAAATCTTTTTTTTTAACTATCGCAACGAATTTGGAAAATCGCAACGCGAAATGGAAAAGCGCAACGCGATTTTCAACTATCGCAACGCGAAATGAAAAATCGCAACGCGAATTTGCGATAGTGGAGATCGCAATGCGAATTAGAGATCGCATTGCGATTTTGTTGGTCATTTTCGCAAATCCAAAAAAATTGGTCAAAATCGTATATTATCTAGGATTTTTGGTCACTGAGGTTATTTTCTCTTTTTATTATGCATAAAACCAAGGGTAAACTACATATTTAGTACTTAAATTATCTGTTTTAATCTGTTTTAATACCTAAATTTTTTTAATTTTTTAAAACTCATACCTAACGTTTAGTTTTTGTTTATTTTAATGCCCACCGTTAATAATTTAACGCTTTTAGTACATAAACTATCAATTTTGGTCAGTTTTAGTGACCAAACTTTCATTTTTTTAAAAATTTAACTTTCAAATTAAACAAAAACTAAATTTTATGCATGATTTTGAAAAAATTGAAAGTGTAGCTGCTAAAACATATAAAAAAAACTAATAGTTCAGGTATTAGACACGTAATATACCCTAAAATCAAAAATCATAATTTCTTGGGTAAACTACAAGTTTCATACCCAAAATATCACTTTTGTTCTGTTTTGGTCACCCATTTATTTTTTGTTTCAAAATCATACCAACATTACATTTTAATTTTATTTTGGTCACCGCTGTTAAAAAATTAACAATGATATTGATGTGTCACCATAAGGCAATACAATGCCATCATTGAAAAAATTATAAAATATCACATCAATAATTCTGTTAATTTTTTAATGGAAATGACTAAAATGAAACTAAGGCGTAACATTAGATATAATTTTGAAATAAAAAATAATTAAGTGACCAAAACATAACAAAAGCGATAGTTGATATTAAATATGTAATTTATCCTAAAAAATTGTTTCATTTGCAAAATGAGCTTGATAAAATTTTATATAGTAACTTTCTATATTTTAAAACTATTGTCAACCCTGAATTTTAAATAGTACTCTCCAAAACCCCCAAAAAATAATTTTGTTAAATCAATTAGCAATATGAATTAAATTAATTATTATAATTTTTTTATTGAAGTAATTTTTTTATTAATCTATGATCATTATAAGTGGCAATATTAATTTTAAAGGCTTTCAACCATTTGACAAAGAAAATTTAAATACGTTGCAATAGTTAGTGCTAAAATCGAGACCTCTAAGAATAACAATCATTCTTTTAATTACAAAGGAAGATCACTTGGTTCCGACAACTATTGCTTTATTTTTTTATTAATCTGGAGCAAGTACAAGGTAATATATGTTCAAATATAACTCTCAACCTTTTGATATTGAACACTTACATCATTAACATCTATATTGCTTGAACCCGAATCCTTAAGTAATAACAATAATTTTTTTACCAGGGCCCATTTGATTGGTGCTAGTTGATTGAATTGATTTTCAATTTCTTTTATCGATCTGATTCTGTCCATTGCTCACCAGTATTAATAACCAAACAGTTTATGCTTTGTTTTGAGCGCAGCAAAGTCATATAGAAGTAATATTTTGCTTTGAGCCCACTAAAGAGTTGAGATATGCTTCGAGTTTAAAGGTATAATAGACAAGTCAAAAAAATAAAAAATAAATGATAGTTTTTGCTTAATTAGTAGAACATAAAGTTATTCCGAAACATATGGACAAAATCATAATTAATTATTAATAGGGACTGAAATATTAGACTATTTAAAAAAATATAAAATTTATTAAATATTTAAACTTAAAATTCAACATGAACTAAGCAACCTTAGTGATTTAAGGATTGTTGTTATCCTTGAGGTCTCGAGTTCGAGCACGGCTCATGTAGGAGTATGAGCGTTCTTTGTACATATATTACCTTATATTCACCCTAGATTTATATAAAAAAAAACTCAAAATTCAAAAGATAATACTTAATTTGTGTAATATTAAGACTTACAATAACTTAAATTGTTATTAAACCAAAAATTTTGAGAACACGGGGTTATCGTTCTTTGTTCGATCCCACTTGATTAAATATTTAATAAATTTTTGTATTTTTTAATTTAAATATTTATTTTACATAAACTAAAATATATTATTAGACTAAAATTATATCAATAATATAAATTTAACAGGGGCCGGCTCCCCTTTGGGTCCTCACTATGCTCCGCCCCTGCCGAAACACAACATAGATCTTGAGCAAACAAACATCATAGTCACTAGCGTACTCTCAGAAGTGTTCACTTGAGCAGCTCCTCCTCCTTCAAATATTCCACAGTTTGGTCGTAGATTTCCTCGATCCCAAACTTAAAGCCGAAAATCCTTCATCAATAATCTTCTCCGAGGAAATGCTCAACTTGGCTTTGGAGGGGAAATCTCCAAAACTGCAATCGGTATAAAAGTAAACAAACTATGTTAACCACAATTCTCCCATAAAGAAATGAACTTTGTGAATGCATGCATATTGGCTCTTACTAGGTAGTGACTTTGAACTCGGGGTATCTTTTGTTGAGGAACTTAGCGAGTTCCGGCACGCTGGAATTGACAGCACAGCATATGTATCGACCCGATGCAGATTCTTTTTCAGCCAGAAAAACATCGGCTCGACACTCGTCTTCCACGTGCATGATAGAGATCGAACCCGACAACATCTGCATACCTTTCAAAGTATTTATGAGGAAGTCAATGCCTGCAAAATGTTGAAGTTCCATCAAATATTTCACTTCTTTGTTTAAGCAGTTCTACAAAGCCATAACATTTGGTTATGATTTAATACCCGAAATCAAAGCCGTTGCAAGGCCGATGCTGCTGGGCAAATCTGGGGTGAGAGAAGGACCAGTCCTGAGAGAAGGGATAACTGTAATGAGATCAATGTTGTTTTCTTCCGCAGATTTCCAAGCTTCCTTTTCAGCCAACGTCTTGGATACTGGGTACCCCTGCATGTATGGATACAACTTACAACATCTATCTTTTGCTTGATCATAATATTATACGTTAACATCAAGTTGCTACCCAAGTTGGTGGCTTTGCAGATGATAAGAAGTCGGTATCGCTCCAGTCTTTCTCCTTCATGACCAGATCTGCCACATGCTTCACCTGTGAGGGAACCTCCGGGAGATGTATTTTTTAGCCCTTTTTTCAGGGGAAAAAATATTAAAATGAGGTAAAAGACTTTAAAAAATACTTTCCAAGGAAAAATTACACACTTCATGATGTGTTTATTCCATTTGTTTTTCTTCCTTTTAAATCGAAAGCTTGAACTTTCCTGGTGTTTTTTTTTTTTTTGACATGGTTGCTAATGATATGTATAGGACACGCATATAGTTTCCATTTCACTAAATACTCCCAGGAATAGGTGTGAAGGATTGAATATCTGATGTAAGTAAAGATGTGGATTTGCCCTTTGAGAGAGAGAGAGGGGGGGGCATGAGGCCAGGCTTCACCAGAGTTTCTCTTCTCTGGTTTGGCTGGCTATAGTAATTGGTCGGCATGAGGCCACGAGAGAGAGAGAGGAGGCATGAGGCCAGGCTTCACCAGAGTTCTCTCTTTTCTGGTTTGACATAGATTGTCCTGGCTGGCTATAATTGATCACAATGTTGAATGCTATGAGTAATTTCTGTTCTCATAAAACAAGTTATGTTAGATGGTGATCTTTGACCTAGACTGTTTTAGCTTGACAACAATTGAGGAACAAAACACTTTATATCAATCATTTGGAAAAAACATTGTGCCACTGATTTGTTTTTATTTGGTAGACATTTTCCTACTGCTTTATGTGCTTTTTTTTTACTAATTTATCTAAATGCAGGTTATTTATCTGCCTTTGATGTGGATGTGTCACTTGATGTTTTGGATCATCCAGTTTTGAACTTGATCTATTACATGGTATTTCACGATCCAGTTTACTCTGTAGTCCTATTCTCACGTCTTCCTAAACATGCGCTTTTGTTGATAAAATTACAGCTGGTTGAGATCCTACCTTCAGCTCTAGTTCTGTACATCTTGCGTAAGTTGCCTCCAAAGAGAGTATCCGCTCAATATCACCCCATCCGTTAGGAGAATGCTTTGTTCGTAGGATTGTTTTTTTCCTACAGGAGAACACAGGGATGGTTTTGGCATGTTTCCAGTTGAGTGATGTAAGCAGAACAAGAAGTAGAACTGGAATGGTTCATGATGCATGCAAAATTTTTAATTTGTATGTGACATAGCCGTTTGCAGCTTCTTTAGGGGAGATCATTGTTGATTTCTTCATTCATTATGTGATCGAAGAGTTGGTTTATCTGACACTGCACAATTAGTAGTTGTTCATCAGTTTGTTTATTAGAAAAATGAACATGATCAAGATTTGTCTCGGGCATGCATATGTCATGCCTTTGTTAATGTATTTGTCATGGGCCAAAGATCATTGTTGCCTTACTAGCAGAAGCTTGTTGAAGGGAGATTTGAAAATCTAAAATTTCATTTTCAGTTACAATCTTGTGAAACTACGGATCTTTTTTAGTGCTAATATTCGTGCTCAGATCCTATTTGACGACTTAAATGTAAAGTCAATAATTGTGGGCGCATGGGGCACCGAATGAGGTGAGCATGAGGCACTGAATTCTACCGAATTCGGTGCAATCAATTTATTTTTTTTTATTTTGTTATAAGGTTAATTATATTTTAACCACAGTATACTTTAGGGTATTTATAAGATTAATCATTAAGCTTTAATTATAAATACTCTAACTCATTTAGCTTCAAAATCATCCCAAATTATTTTTTTCTCCCAATACTAGAGAGTTTCTTGTGAGTAGTAAGTGTTTTGTAAATACCTGTAAATTTTATCTCTTAGTAAAAGATCTGCAGCAGTCTTGAGACATAAGCACAATTGGTTGAACTTTGTTATCAATTTCAGGTATTATTTTTCCGCTTTTATTTCGCATTTTCACTAATCTGGTTATAAGGAAATTACTTGTTACTCGTTTATTTCCTAACAAATGGTATCAGAGTTTTTAGTTGTGAATTTTGTCAATTTTTTGCGAGCTTACTATTTATTATTATTCACGTAAATAGTGAATTTTGTGAATAGTAAAAAAATTTGTCGGCGATACGAATTTGTCAACGGAGGTGTTCTAATACACAGTGGTTCACAAGATTTGTCAGAAACGATCCAAACAAAGTCATATTCGAGTGGGACCGATTGGCTGCAGATGAAGGGAATGTGAAAATTAAAAAGTTCGATGGTACGGACTTTGGCTTTTAGAAGATGCAGATTGAAGATTTTTTGTATAAGAAAAATCTATATCAACCTCTATCAGGAAAGCAACCAGAGGGCATGAAGAATGAAAAATTGGCTCTTCTCGACAAACAAGCCCTCAGAGTTATTCGACTGACGTTGTCCCGAAATGTTGCTTTCAACATAGAAAAGGAAAAGACAACGGCAAGTCTTATGGCGGCTCTCTCCAGTATGTATGAGAAGTCATCGGCCTCAAACAAAGTTCATTTGATGAGGCGATTATTCAATTTGCGGATGGCGGAAGGGGCATCAGTGGCACAACACCTAAATGAACTCAACACAATCACAACCCAGTTGAGTTCCATGGAAATTGAATTCGATGATGAAGTTCGAGCTTTAATTCTCTTATCATCTCTACCAGACAGTTGGAATGCTATTGTTACACCAGTAAGCAGCTCGTCGGGAAATAGCAAATTAAAATTCGACGATGTTCGGGATCTGGTATTGAGTGAAGAAATTCGACGAAGAGAATCGAAGCATCAACCTCCTCAGCCTTGCACACAGAGTCTAGAGGGAGAACTTCAGAAAGAAATTCAAATCGTGATAGATCGAAATCCAGAATGGGAAAGAAAGGTTTTACCTGCTATAATTGTGGCAAGAATGGTCACTTTAAAGAGAGCATAGCAAATCTGCCAATATGACAGAGGAAACAGGTGATGCCATGATTCTAAGCGTCAACATTCCGATTGAATCATGGATCTTAGATTCAAGGGCATCTTTCCACTCCACCCCATGCCGAGAAGTCATGGAGAACTATGTCAGTGGTGATTTTGGGAAAGTTCATCTAGCTGATGAAATCTGAAGATCGTCGGAAGAGGAGACATCCGACTAAAGTTGCCAAACCAGACCACCTAGACGCTGAAAGGTGTGAGACATATTTCTGGTCTCAAAAGAAATTTGATTTCTGTTGGACAGCTTGATGGAGAAGGATATAGCATAACCTTTTCAGGCTGTGAATGGAAGATTATAAAAGGAGCACTCATCATGCTCGTGATAAGAAGACTGATATTCTCTATGTAACCTCAAATTAGAGAATATTATTGCAGCCGCTGATGCTGATGAAAAATCAAACCTATAGCATCAAAGGCTTGGCCATATGAGCGAGAAAGGGATGAAGACCCTTTTGTCAAAAGGGAAGTTGCCGGATCTAAAGTATGTATATGTTGGACTATGTGATGATTGCATCTTTGGCAAACAAAAGAAATTCAGTTTTACAAAGATTAGCAAGACACCCAAGGCAGAAAAGTTAGAGTTGGTTCATATTGATATATGGGACCATCTATAGTTCCATCTCTTGCAGGCTCACTATATTATGTCACCTTCATCGATGATTCTACAAGGAAGGTGTAGGTTTATTTTCTGAAGAAGAAATCATAAGTCTTTGATACATTCAGAAAATGGAAGGTCATGGTGGAAAATGAGACTGGTTTGAAAGTCAAGCGGTTGAGGTTTGACAATGGAGGAGAGTACATAAACAGTAGATTCAAAGATTTCTGCGTAAACAATGGGATCAAGATGGAGACAACAGTTCCCATGACACCGCATCAGAATGGAGTAGCAGAGCGCATGAACAGAACTTTGAATGAACGTGCCAGAAGCATGAGGATACATGCCGGATTGCCCAAATTTCTATGGGCTGAAGCTATCAACACTGCAGCTTACCTGATCAACCGTGGGCCCTCAGTTCCTTTGGATGGTGGAATACCAGAGGAAGCTTGGAGCAAGAAAGAAATAAACCTTTCACACTTAAGAGTGTTTGGTTGTATTTCTTATGTACATATAAATTCTACTGAAAGAAGCAAACTTGATGCCAAGTCCAACAAATGCGTCTTTGTTGGTTATGGTGGTGATGAGTTCGGTTACCGATTTTGGGACTATGAAAATCGGAAGATAATCAGAAGCAAATACGTCATTTTCAATGAAAATGTGATGTACAAAGACATGTCAACCATAAAATCAAGTAGCTCCAATACCGAAGCTGAAACAAAGGAATTTGCTGAGTTTGAGGAGATTTTTGGAAATGATGTTCAGATCAATCCTGAAGCAGTTCAAGAAGAACCATGCACACCAGAACTAAGACGCTCCTCCAGAATTCATAAACCAACCCAGCATTATTCGACTTCTTTGTACTACTTGTTGCTGACTGACAATGGTGAACCAGAGTGCTATGATGAAGCAATGCAGGTGGAGGATTCAGTCAAGTGGGAGTCTTCCATGAAAGATGAGATGGACTCGCTTATGTCAAATCAGACGTGGGAATTAGCTGAATTACCACCAGGCAAGAAAGCGCTCCACAACAAGTGGATTTACAGGATCAAAGAAGAGCACGATGGGAGCAAACGCTACAAAGCAAGATTGGTTGCCAAAGGTTTTCAGCAAAAAGAAGGTATTGATTACAATGAAATTTTCTCTCCAGTCGTGAAACTGTCTACAATCAGACTGGTGTTGAAAATTATAGCTGCAGAGAATTTACATCTTGAGAAATTATATGTAAAAACAACTTTCCTTCATGGTGATTTGGAGGAAGAAATCTATATGAGACAACCAGAAGACTTCATAGAGACAGGCAATAAAAACCTAGTATGCAAGTTGAAAAAGAGCTTGTATGGTTTAAAACAAGCTCCTAGACAGTGGTACAAGAAGTTTGATAGTTTCATGAGTAGTAGTGGTTTTACCAGATGCCAAGCAGATCATTGTTGCTACATCAAGAGGTTCGACAACAGCTTCATTATTTTATTATTGTACATTGATGACATGCTCGTTGCAGGCTCAGACATGCAAGAGATTATAAACTTGAAGCAAAAA